GAGCGTGGAATCTTAAGCCGTCGGGTGTGGAACTTCAAGCCCTGAAGCGTGGAATCTCAAGCCGTCGGGTGTGGAACTTCAAGCCCTTTAGCGTGGAATCTCAAGCCTTGGAATGTGGAACAATGGGCCCGGGCCCACTGGCGTGGGGGGCCCAAACCGGAGTTTAAAAAACATGTCGAGGGCACCCCCCAAGCTTGACACTCATTTTGATCGGGCCTTCGTCAGCGAGCTGCGTTGAGTGAAACAGAACTTGGTTGAAGGCACTGGCATCTCGAAACATGAGCTCATGTCCGTAGCCGCCGACGTGTTCTAGGAATCCATGGGCTGGTGAAAGTTTTTGACATACTCGAACATGTACCTCATGTTAGTCACAGCTCCAGTGTTCCAGGAACCGAGGGGCTGCTTGGGTCCTTTGCGCGTCGTGCGGCGCGTCGGCGGGCGGCGGCCGCTTCTTCTTGAATCCAAGCATTGTGCTCGAGGAGGATCGTCCACCAAAAGACTTGAAAGCGGCCAGGGGGCATGTCCAAACTGGATTTGGTGCGGTGCGTGATCCAAGAGTTCAGCTGCTCACATGCTTGCGTGTTTTTGCCTGCGAGCAAACCTGTATTGTCTGGATGCTTGGGATCAACCTCAGGCAGGTGCTGCAAGCACCACTTGTGATTGTCGCGATGAAAGTTGTCCAAGACAATGGCGAGATCAGAAGCGAAACTTCGACTGATGTCGCCTGCCACGTGTCTGTTCTCTCGCGCCTTTTGCAGCAGATGGCAAGCATTGTCGTAAGCCAAGCATCGGACGACGACACCACGCTGAGTCATGTCTTTCAGAAAGCTCAAGGAGAAGGCGTAGACGAGCTCAAGCTGTTCACCTTCAGGGCAAAGGAACAAAGAACAGGGAAAAACGTGCTTTGCAGAACATACTGTGAAAGGTAACTGTCAAGAACATTTGGGCTGGTGCCTCGCCACATTTCGACAAAGTCTGCCATGTAGCCACAGCTTGTGACACAGGTCAAAATCCCCCCTGTCGTCTTGCGGCGTTTGGACGGCTCTGAATATTCCTTGTCGACAGGACATCGGAAAGTGGTTTTCTGAGGTTTGGCCTTCGCTTTTGCACACTCATACCGAGGTTTCAACCATTTGGCAGTACGTCTTGGTCCCTTGACTTGCATCGGCCGGCTCCGCAAATTCCGATGATCTGTCCTTTTGACCAACAAACGCTTCTCGAAGTCTTTCAGAAGCGATTGCTGGACCTCGGCCCTGGGCAGTAGAAGCTCAACCGTGCGAGTGGGATCTGTAGGATCCNNGCGTAGAGGTTACAGCATTTGAGTAATGACACGCGGTCTTGCTACACCACGGCTTTTCAAGTTGAAGTTGCAGGTATCCGGATACGCGTAGGCCGACACCCTAAACCGTAGAGCAAAGCAAAAAGCTGGAAGCAAACGTCTAGAGTCTAGACCCTGAACCTAGAGACTGGCTTCAAGGTTTGGAATGCATGGGTGCAGTCAACAAAGCCCTGGACGGTCCAGGCGTTCCAGACCATTGACTTGGATCTGTCCTTCAATCAAAGCAGCCACGTCAGTTTGCTGACGACATCTCTTACAGTGCAACTGCCCCGGTGGCGCGAAGTTGGTGCAACCAGTGTCGAAGGTGACGCCCAAGGAAGCATACTGTTGTGTGCCTTGCAGGCCGGCGCAAATCATGCGCCGAGCACCGTGCTTGCCGTCGAGGACGAGCAGCGGACTATTGCTGCAGTGGGGACACAGTTTCATGTGTTCTGCCACACGATCCATGTGGAGCTGATGTATAAGTGGCACGTGTGATTGCAAAGACTCGTCAAACCCAGATTGAAAGTTCCAGGTCAACTGTCTCGGCAGGATACCGGAAAGCCTGACTGCATTCCACGTGTACCACGCCATGAGGATGTCGTCTTCGACGTGCGGCAACAAAGTAAAATCCTCTCCGAATATCAAGCTGTGCTGAAAATGCTCTGAGTGCCGCTTGGCCCAAAGCAAAACCGCAGAACGCAAAGACCCCGCAGCAAAATGCAGGGTGTCCGAAACATGTTGCAACAGTGTCAGCTCGACTGCGAAGTAAGAACGGTACTTTGGTATGACGAAGAGACCTGTGGACAAAGCATCCTTGTAGAGGTACTGCGCGTCGGCTATATGCCCAAAGCGTGCTTGTCCCTTGCGAAAACACCAATTATTGATGTAAAAGCGGTTGCAAGATGGGCAGCTGGCTTCCTGAAAGGATGCGTACTGCACACCAGCATCCAACGAATACACACGAAAACGATGTTCATGCAGAGACTTGTGCCGCGGAAGATTGTTGGGGACCACGGCCTGGGACACGCATTCTCGGGCCTTAAGTTGGGGCGTGTCTGGGCAGAACGGACACGTCTGCCTGCGGTTGTGTACTTCCACCAAAGTTGCAGAAGGTGCCAGGCTCTGAAAGCTTTTCAGGAGCGGTGGCAAGCTGGCAGAGACTGACGGTGTGTTGAAAACCGCTGGCAAGTAATGCTCAAGCTTCCAGATGACATTGTCTGCGTTCTGCGTGGAGAGCTGCAGACCATAGTTCTTCACAGCAAGCTCTCGAAGCACCGGCGCGGCCAGACTGGCAGGAATGCAAGAAGCTAGTTGAAAGACCGTAGCAGCCGCATCAGTGGGCAAGGGCGAAAGCAAGAGCGAAAGAGAAAATCTCTCTCCCAGCATGTGCCCTGATGGCAGAAGTTCGCAAGCCTTCTTACAACAGCGGCAGTCTGTTTGAGTTTGCTGCAATTGATTGAAACAAGTAAAAAACCAGTAAGATATGTCTGTCGTTCTATTGCAAGTTTTAGCACCCTAACGAGTGTCACCTGCAGCGTGTGTCTTCCTGCCCTGCGTGTGACGTGCGCTGAGGAAGGCTGCCGGGCGCAAGCTGGATTATGTTGATATAGACATGGTTATTGGGATGCTCGTATTCACGGTCATGGTAATGGTCAGGACGGCGTGAACGCTCATGGTGTTGATGGATGAAAACCATGGTCATGAGGAGCATGAAGACGGTGATCATGATGATGACGAGAATGAAAATGACAGTGCTGGCACTGATGATGGTCATGATCATGTTGATACTGTGGCGGTGTTGGGTGTTGGCGGTGGTGGTGGCGGTGGTGCAGTGGTGGCGGTGGTGGACATGGTGGTACCTCTTCACCCTCTCAACAGCGTTCTTTCTCTTTCTCTNNTCTCTCTCTCTCTCTCATTTCTGTTGTTGCTGCTGCTGCCGCTGCTGCCACTGGTTTCCTTCCGTCGGTGCTCCTGTTGCGGTTTCTGACCTTGTCGCCTGCTGTTGCAGTTTGCGTTCTTGTTGTTGCTGGTCGATTTTGGTAGTGGATCTTGGTAATCATTTTAGCACAAGTTCAAGTTGTTTTTTCTTGTCTTGGCCCGAAGACCAGTGAGGATCCCTGCGATTGATGTTGTACGTTGGCTTTCATTTGGATTCTTTCGCTGTGTTTGCTGCCCTGGCTGCTGCGCTGCCACTGCGGTTGTCCAAGGCTTCGTTTGTAGATCTCTTCGTGCTGCTGCTGCTGTTGCTGCCGCTGCGCTTGTGGTTGCAAATGCTGGTGACATCAACAAACAACATGGACAGGACTGTGGCATGCCTGTAACTGCAAGACTGAACATGCACACACACACACACATGACTGCAACTGCATGTCTGACATGTCTGTTCCTCTCGGCCAGCGGCCTACGGCTTCCAGAAGGAACCCCCCCAACCTCCCCCAGCCCTTTGCAACTATCAGCACCTACAAGTTCAGGGTTCCAGGACTGCAGATGACACCTCATCTATGAGACCACCCCCCAAGTTGGTGTCCCAAAGGCTACCGGGTTGTTGCTGTTTTCTGGCCCCGCAGCAGGCCCCAACCCCACACCCACCCTTCCAAACAGGCGGCCAAGCCGAACAAGAAATGTCGCTGAAACACGTCCTA